CTTAGGACAGGAAGGTTTAAAAATGATGTTTTGGAAATTGACTTTGAACTGGATTTTGTTTATGTGAGATTGTATTATACTTGATTTGAGTTTTATATTCCTCTGCAACCTCGAGAATTAGATTGTATGGACTCTGTGTCAGTTTTATTGGGAGAAGTGAGAGAAAATGTAGCAGAGGTTTGGTAGTAGATTCCTGTGAGAAAAATATGCACAAGGAAAGTTAACTTTGGCTTTTGCATTGTATACTTGTATCTGTTGAAGAATGAAAAGTAGATGTCATTTGCTTGGCGTGAAGTTATTGTATATATAAATAGCTAGTATTACATAATCCTTGGTATTGAAGAGATGTTGGGGACATAATAGTGAGATTATATCATAGGTACATTTAACTTACTTGCACTCATCTATGTAGAGTGGAAAAGTGGGAGTGGAGGAACGTGGCATAATTGTTAGCATTCTTGACTGTAAGCAGTAGGAATCAACTTTGGCTAATTGATGCAAAAGAATGTCTTGGAAAAGACCCTTGAGACATACTTAGGAATCAAGGTTAACCAGCTGGAGGACTGGAGCCAAGATGAGGGCATAGGAACACTTGAGTGGGAAGCCATCACTAGTACTTGCTGACAATGTCTTAGTTGTTGCTATGAATAATTTTTCAACTATTCTTGTTCCTGTCACTCAAGTTAAAGTCTTGAGAAAGGAACATTTGATTGTCTGGCTCAGATCCAGAGCTTGTTTCCAACCTGTTAGGGGACCAGGAGTAGAGAAAAATCTGGTCTTTAGTTTCTATTGTGAAAACAAAATCATCCATATCCAAAATTGAACTCATAATGTCTGTGATTTCTCCTAAGGAAAGCAGAACACTTCCTTAATGCTTCACAACTCAGTAAATAAATGTACCCAGAAGTTTAAAATCATCCTGACTTTCCCCATTTTCTTAGTTTCACATATAGCAAATAGTATATGGTCCTGACAGTCTATTCTTTAATACCTTGAATTTAGTTGTTCAACTCTTTTGCTCAAGGCTAGCACTCTGCCACTTGTGCCACAGTGCCACTTCTGGCTTTTTCTGTTTATATGGTCCTGAGGAATCGAACCCAGGGCTTCATGCATGGTAGGCAAGCACTCTACCACTAAGCCACATTCCCAGCCCCTCACTTATTATTCTTGAGATTATTTTTACCTAATGGTATAAATTATGTGAGGTTGTAAAAAGTCTGAGTGCTCATTTATCTTCCTAGAGTAGCAGTGGGCCTGGCTCCTGGTTGGTCCTTACTATTTTAAGAGGAAACCTATAATGTGTTTGATAGGGGTTGGCAGTATAGAGACTGAAATTAATTAGTTTCAATGTTCACCAAGGCGCTCTTGTGTGGGGCTCTCTGACAGGAGGGTTGTAAAACTTGCTGTTCTAAAGGTGCTGTGGTATGAAGAATATAGTTTAGTGTTGTGTCTTCTCCTCCTTCTTTTTTTTTCCAAAGGGAAAACATTTCTCCAGGTCTAATTTGATTGTATGTTTGTTGCTGATGTTAGTTTTAGGCTCTTCCTCCCCCCTCTATTTAACAAAAGCTTTTTTAAAATTAAAATTAAAATTTTCTTGTAAAGATGATATATAGATGAGTTAAAAAACTTCTTAAACTTTTCAGAAGTATAGAGAAATAAAACAAAAATAGAAATAACTTAATGATGCATAGAAATGATAACTTTTTATTATAGACTTTCCTTTATATCTGCAGTGTACATATAGTATTGTTCTTTCCCTTTTCTCTATAGTAAGATTATAAATTTGGATTTTTAACTTGCTTTTTCCCACTTAATATGTTTTGAATCTCTTTCCATATTAATGAATATTTTTGCTATTGTTTTAGAAATGTTTGAATAGTTTGCTTTCACGTTGCTATTTGCATGGATATGCAGTATTAGCCTATCTGCTCAACGATGGAATTTGAATTTCCACTTTTTCACTCTTATACAACAGTAGTGTAAACCTCCTTAGATACAGAGTCTAGCTTATTGGGTGCCTTTGTATGTTTGAATAGACCATGAAACTCACTTGATTTGTGGGAAAGAACAAAACATATTATTTCTGCTTTCAGAGAATGAGAAAATTTTTTGTATAATTAGTACTTAGAGCTGAGTTTGCAGAGATAATTTAAGTTGTAAGATTTTCAGAAACACTTTCCTTTTTTTAGACTGTTTGAAGGTATGTGAATTAACAGTTGAACTAAAATACTGCCTATCAGTTTTCTTTCTCTATAATGTATTTCCTAAATTATATTTATATATGTATATACACACACAAATATATCAGAGGTTTTACTCAATTTTATGTCTGTGATCTTAGTGACTGAGAAAGTTTGAAAGAGTCTAGTTTACCTGGAAAAGCAGTTTATGGATTTTGTTTTTCTTTATTTAGCCTGTATAGCTTGGGAATATACACTTTTTTTTTTTTTGGTGGGGGGGGGCCTAAATTTGAGGCATGGGCACTGTCCTTGAGGTCTTTTTAGGCTAGCGCACTATACCACTTTGAGCTTTAGCTCTACTTCTGGTTTTCTGGTGGTTAATAGAAGATAACAGCCTTGGGGATTTTCCTGCCCAGGCTGCCTTTGAACCACGATCCTCAGTTCTCAGCCTCCTGAGTAGCTGGGTTTACATGTATATATGCCCCACAGACATATATACTTTAGTAGAAAGTTATTCAAAGCCGAAGTTGCTCCACTGCTTGAGCCATACCTCCAACCCTGACTTTTGGTTGGTTGATTGGTTTAGAGATATCATTCTATCTAGGATGGCTTTGAACTTACTCTTGTTTATCTGTCTTCCTGAGTAGATAGGATTAGCCTAGATTAACTTTTATATAAATTAAATTGTCTTTGATTGAGAATGAATATAATATAAATACCTATGAATAATTTTGAGTGTTGAATTTACAATTGAGATAATTTCCTAATTAATAAGAAATTGTGTTACAGTACTGAATCATATTCACTGAAAGTGGAACCATAGTTATATATGTACTTGGCAGTATGCAAGATAGTTGCCCTCCTCCGCCCCAACCTTTCTTTTCCTGGTCCTAAGGCTTGAATTCAGGTCCTGGTTGCCTGAGCCTCTTTGTACTTAAGACTAGCATTCTACCACTTGAGCCACAGTACCACTTTTGGCTTTTTCTGATAAGTATCTTATGAACTTTTCTGTTTGGGCTGGCTTCAAACAGTAGTCCTCAGGTCTCAGCCTTTGAGTGGCTAGGATTACAGGTGTGATAGTTACCTCTTAAAAAAAAACTAAAAAAAACACCCCCCAAACCCTCACAAAACCCCAAGCCTGGCCAGGCACTGTAATATTTGTAAGCTTAGCTACTTAAGAGGCTGAAATCTGAGGATCTCCTTTCCAGGCCAGCCCAGGCAGGAATATCCATGAGACTCCAACTAATCTCCAATTAAATCTCTGATTGACAAAAGCCAGAAGTAGAGATGTGGCGCAAGTGGTAGAATGCCAGCCTTGAGCAGTCAAACTATAGGATAGTGCATAGACATTGGGTTCAGCCATAACAGTGTTGTACCTGTGTACTCAGATGTTGAGTTTAAGCCCTAGAAGTACACACTTGCCTGGGCATACACAATCAGATTAGTGCCTGAGCATGGTATGTGCTTGTAATTCCAACTACTGAGAAGGTGCAAATAGAGGATAGCAATCTCAAGCCATCCATAGAAAAAGTATGACACCTAATCTGGATTTGTACTTAAAGGCAGGAGTTGTTACTTGAGCCCTGTCCTGGATGTTTTTGCCTTTTTTTTTTTTTGTTACTGCGAAGTTAGTGAGTCTTGAACTCAGAGCCAATCACTCTTGCTTATGTTAGTTTTTTTTTTCCCCCTGAAGGCTGGCACTCTATTGCTCGAGCTATTCTACTTTCTAGGACTAATAAAAATTCTTTTGGTTTGCGCAAAATTTAAAACATCTAAATTTTTTGTCATGAATGAGAAAAAGTTGTATCTATAGTTGTGATATCTGGCTATATCACAATATTGATTCAAAGAGAAAAAGAACTAGTTTTGCTAACTGGTATGGTAGAAGAGCCATTGGATAGTTTGAAGATGGGCTATTTGAAAATCACTCCTCACTGTTTTTTCTTTTTCAAAGTGGAAAGAGTAACATCTAATTTATATAGTTTTTGAATCCAAAATGCAACACTCTATATGTTTGTTTACTTTGAAAGACTTTGACATAAAATCTTATAAAAATTAGAAAAACATCCTTTTTTTTTTTTGGTGGTTGTGGGTCTTGAACTCTGGGCTTGGGTGCTGTCCTTGCACTCTTCAGCTCAAGGCAAGTGCTCTACTGCTTGAGCTACAGCACCACTTCCAGTTATCTAGTGGTTTATTGGAGATAAGAGTCTCATGGATGGGCTGGGAAGATGCCTTAGTGGTAGAGCACTTGCCTTGCATGCCAGAGGCCCTGGGTTCAATTCCTCAGCACCACATAAGCAAAAAGAAAAAAGCTAGAAGTGGCGCTGTGGGTCAAGTGGTAGAGCACTAGCCTTGAGCTGAAGAGCTGAGGGACAGTGCCCAGGCCCAGAGTTCAGGCCCCACGACCAGACCCCCCCGCCCCCCCCCCCAAAAAAAAAAAAAAAGAGTCTCATGGACTTTACTGCCCTGGCTGGCTTTGAACTGCTATCCTCAGATCTCAGCCTCCTGAGTAGCTAGGATTACAGGTGTGAGCCATCGCCGCCCGGCTATAAAAACATACTTATGTGTCTTAAGTTTGCTTTTGGTCATCACATTGTCTCCAATTTAAAAAATCTTACATTTCTTACATTTCCTTACATTCTCTGTTTTCTATGGCAATGAAAAATGTGCAAACTTCATTTGTGGTGTTTTAATTTGCACAATATAATGATTGGTGAATACTACTCCATAAATATGTTGTAAATCTAAGGAAGATCTCATTTCTTATTACCCTATTCTGGATATACTGTTAATATTACTCTTTTAATTTTCCATTTACAGTTACATGATGTTGATTGATGGCACAAATGAAGTTTTTATGATTGATAGAGACAATTCAGTGTTTCATGTTTCAAATCTGGAATTTCCATTTCGTAAAGATCTCCGCATGCATTTGTCAAATACTCTTTTGGATGGGGTAAGTAATTTATTTTGTATGTATGCATTTAAAAATGAAACTTGCCAATTTTTCCTTAAGTGTGTGAGGAAGTTAGAATTGAGTAAAGTTTTTATTGAGTTGTTAAAGTTCATATACCCTTTTAATTGAATTAGATCTTGTTTTTATTTTCTTTTTGGATTGGTCATGGGCCTTGAACTTAGGGCCTAGGTACTGTCCCTAAATCTTTTTGCTCAAGGCTAGTGCTCTACCACTTCAAGCCACAGTTCCACTTCCAGTTAATTGGTTAATTGGAGATAAGAGTCTCATGAATTTCCCTTCACAGTTCCACTTCCAGTTTTGGGATGGTTAATTGGAGATAAGAGTCTCATGAATTTCCCTTCCTGGGCTGGCTTTGAATGGCGATCTTCAAATTTCAGCCTCCAGAATAGCTAAGATTACAGGTGTGAACCACCAGCATCTGGCTAAATCCTTGTTTGTTTTTTTCTTCTTTTTATTTTTGCCCTTTTAAAAATTGTAGTTCTAGGGGCTGGGAAGTTGGCTCAGTGGTAGAGCACTTGGCTTGCATGCACGAGGCCCTGGGTTCGATTCCTTAGCACCACATAAGCAAAAAGAAAAAAGCTGGAAGTGGCACTGTGGCTCAAGTGGTAGAGCGCTAGCCTTGAGCTGCAGAGCTGAGGGACAGCGCCTAGGCCCAGAGTTCAGGCCCCACGACCGGACCCCCCTCCCCCCAAAAAAATTTGTAATGCTAAAGATGATGTACAGAGGTATTAGATTCTTTTAAAGAAGGATCTCTGAATTAAGATTTGAGACTAAATAGGATTTTGAGATTTTTCTTTACTAAAGAAAATTAAGGAAAGTGAGTTAAATAGATTCTGTCTTGGTAAGTCTCACTCTATGAGAGTAAGTAAAATTAAATCATAGTTTTTTGTTATGAAAATATTCTTAAAAAGACAATTTTTATTGTATTATTTGCTTGTCAGTTGAATTTTAGTTGTGTAATATTACAGAATCACACTTTACCATAGCCCTTTAATTATAAGGACTTAGTTTAAGCAGATTCCTTATCTATAGTAGGTAAGGTTAATAACTATTCCTTATGTTATTGTGAAGATTGAATTGGAAAGTTTATAAGGTGGTGATGATATTGTCTGGCACATAGCAAAGTAAATATTTTCCTCTTGTTTACACTTATGTGAATTGCTAATGAGGCTCTTTTCGAAGTTTCTGTTTATGAGTTCCCTTTTCAGATCCATCCTCCACTTTTCTGTTGGGTATTCATATTTGTTGGTTTATGAGATCCTTTTGTCTTATTGGGGTACTATTATATATTTCCTTTTCTGGCATTTTTTTCTAATGCACAGAAATTTAAATACATTTAAGTAAATTATTAACCTCAATTTTTGTGACATGTTAAAGGTGATCTATGTGTATCTCAAATACCTGATGTCTATATTTCCTTCTAGTATTTTTTACAGTTTTATTTACATGTTTAAATATTTGATCTATATGAAATACCTTTTGATAATGGGAATAAGAGAAGAGTATAGTTTATTTTTTGCCAGTCCCAGGGCTTGGACTCAGGGTCTGGGCACTGTCCCTGAGCTTGTTTTGCTCAACGCTAGCACTCTACCACTCGAGCCAGAGCTCCGCTTCTGGCCTTTTCTTTTTATATGGTATTGAGGAATCTAACCCAGGGCTTCATGCATGCTAGGCAAGCACTCTACCACTAAGCCACGTTTCCAGCCCCTGTTTATTCTTTTAAATTGAAAACATTATTTTCATGGTATAATTAGGTCCTGCGACTTACCCTTGACTGCCCTTAATTTGTAGTGCTTTCTCTGCCTTCCCAGTGAGAGGATTACCGATTTGCCACCACCATGCTGGCTGTCATTCTTTTTCTGTTTCTTTTCCTTTTTCTTTCTCTTCTTGCTCCCTCTCCTCCTCTGCCTTCCACTTCCCCATGTTAGGAAAGCAATTCTACCATAGATATACCCCCACACCCCTTGTACTTTCTTGATTTATTTCAGTGTTCCATTAATGTTTTGGTCTCCCAATATTAGTTTTAGATAGTTTTAAAGACTGTGGGTTTAGCATGCACTTTAATGTATGACTAACCAAATGTTTTTACCTTCTTGGTTGTTCTGAGGTTTGCCACTGAGATTTTACTCTGGCTGTGCCTGTGTGTGTGTGTGTGTGTGTGTGTGTGTGTGTGTGTGTGTGTGTGTGTGTGTGTGTGTGTGTGTGTGTGTGTGTGTGTGTGTGTGTGTGTGTGTGTGTGTGTGTGTGTGTGTGTCTTGAACTCAGGGCCTGGGTGTGGTTCCTAGGCTTTTTTTTTTTGCACAAGGCTAGGGTTCTGCCCCTTTGAGACACAGCACCACTTCTGGTTTTCTGCTGGTTAATTGGAGTTAAAAAGAGTCTCTTGAACTTTCCTGCCTAGGTTGTTTTCAAATGGTGATCCTCAGATTTCAGCCTCCTGAGTAGCTAGGCTCTGGGCTTACTCTGGCTCTTGAATGATCAATTACATGATGAGTAAGTTAGTCTAGACTAGTATGTCACATCTTCTCTGATCTAGATAGCAGTAAGTTTATATTCTTTTTTTCAGAGCAATTCTGTAGATTTGTGTCAAGAACCTTCATTTTCTTGTGCTGGGTCATATGGATTACCTTCATGTTACTTGGTCGCTGTCAGTTGTACAAATAGTGGTATTGATAGTGATTCATGAGTACAGAAAGTACATTTTAGTTTTCAGTATCCTCATTTTATTCATTATAGTCTTTTTTTTGAGGCTTGCACTCAGGGTCTGGGCACTGGTTAGCTCTTTTCCTTAAGGCTAGTTACTGTTCTACCACTTCCAACCACAGCGTTACTTCCAGTTTTCTGGTGGTTAATTGGAAATAAGAGTCTCACAGGGGTTGGCTTTGAACCATGATTTTCAGATCTCAGCCTCCAGAGTTGCTAGGATTATAGGCATGAACTACTAGTGCCTGTGTCATTATAGGGTGTTTTTTCCCCCTTGCATTATAAATAATAAAATAAAAGGAAGAAAAGGCTCTTTAGAGCATTTGAGATGTTTACTGTAGTTTATGACTGAAGTAATGTATATTGAGTGCTTGTTAGCTTCTAGGGGATGTGCCTAGAGTGCCAGCATTGCTGAGAGGGTGAAAAAAATCTTACCTCCTGGAATGGTGGAGAATGATTGGAAATATTGTAAGAGACCTTTAAGTTAAACAACTCCAAAAGAGAGACATTTAAGTAAGACAAGTCCTATCCTATGGTCTTAAAAGAATAAATTATTGCTAACTAAAGAAGTAGGCTAGAGATGTTTTGTGTAGGAGTTTCCATTGTTATAGAAAAAGATTTTTGATGATCATGGTCCGAGGGCATTCCAAGTAGGAAATATTGATAAAAAAATTAGATATATAACTGTCTGTAGATTTAACTTGGTAACACTATTTTCAACCCAGACTTGGATAGCTGAGAGCATCATAATACATTCTTGTGAGGTTTTAAAATAGCAATATGATTCATAATGTCAATTTACTTGGGCCAGAATTATAGTTGCCATATCTGTTTTTCCAGTTAGTTAATTAAAATAGTCCTCTGGCTGTAGTTTCCTGTTTTTTTTTTTCCCCCTTACATTTTCATTTGCAAATTGTTTTTGTAAAATTCCAAATCCAAGAATAACTCAAAGCACTTAATTGTCTGGCTGTTGGATATGTACACTGAGATTTTGTTTGCTTTGCTAAAAATTATGTTCCTTGACCCACAAAGTGTGGAAAATAGGAGTGTAGCAAGAGGGTAATAATTCACCTGAAACAAATCAGTAAAATTTAATCCATTTAGTATTGAGGCCGAGGAAGGATACAGCAATTAATAAAATTTACTAGTGAGAATCTTACAAAACTGTATGTCTTTTTCAACTATTAACTTTTTTATTTTGAAAACTTTTTAAGCATTTGTCATTTTACAAGTTAGGACTTCTAGGGGATTAGTGGTTTTATATCTAAACTCAACCCTCTTTTGGTTTTTCCAGAATCTTGGTATTTTCTTGGTTATGTTGGCTATCTGTTTAAAATTTTATTTTAAGTTTTATTATTGCAAATAATCTATTTGGACCTATGGTTATTTTATTTTTATTTTTTGTCATTTGTGGGGCTTGAACTCAGGCCTAGGCACTGTCTCTGAGCTTTTTTACTCAAGGCTAGTGCTCTATCACTTTGAGCTATAGCACCATTTCTGATTTATTTTCTAGTGGTTAATTGGAGATAAGAGTCTCAAGGATTTTCCTGCCTGGTCTGGCTTTGAACTGCGATTCTCAAATTTCAGCCTCCTGAATAGCTAGGATTATTGGAATGAGCCACCAACACCCAGCTTGGTTATTTTTAAAGCTTACTCATTTGGCTATTCTTTTTCACATGTTTTGTTATTTGATAATGTATTTCTTTTTGGCATTTAAAAGCAATTTGTAAAGGAAAGCATTGTTGCTCATTTATCAGATAATTTAGGAAATTCTGAAGTGTTTGCTGTTTACAACTTAAAAGTTCACTTAACTGAAGAGAACAATTAATTGGAATCTGTTATTGCTAGCACTTTTTTTTTTTTTTTTTTTTGGCCTATCTTGAGGCTTGAGTGTTGTCCCTAGCTTTTTCTGCTAAAGGCTAGTGCTCTCCCATTTGAGCCACAGCTCCATTTCTGGATCTCTCTCTCTCTCTCTCTCTATTTCTCTCTTTCTCCCTCACTCTCTCCCTCTCCCTCTCTCTTTCCCCTCTCTCTCCCTCTCTCATTCTTTCTCTCTCCCCTCTCTCTCCTCTCTCTCCCCTGTCCCCTCTCTTCCCTCTCTCTCTCTCCTCTCTTCCCTCTCTCCTCTCTCTCCCCCACCCCCCTCTCTTGTTAATTGTAGATAAGATCTACACTGATTTTCCTCCCCAGGTTGCTTTTGAACTGTGATCCTCAGATCTCAGCCTCCTGAGTAGCTTGGATTACAGGCGTTTACCCCTTGCCTGGCTTCAGTTTTGAATTTTATACTGTTGGCATTTCTGGGTTACTGGCTTCCCCAGTATATAACTCTGAGATATATGAGTTAGAAAGGAGCCCAGGGAACTTAATTATAAGCACGATATCATTTGCTATATCCCAGAGTCTCTTGCTAGTCGACCTTCCTTCCACCAGCCTACCTGTCTTGCTAGCACTTTCTTGTTATGTAAAATGCTTACACATGAATATTTAAGTGAAAGTATTTCAGTAAAAAGTTTGAATTATCAAATATGATTTAATTTGTGTCAAGTGTTTGGTATAAGTAAAATGTCTGTACAACAGTGATATATACAAGATAATATGTTGGAAATGATCTATACAGTTTGAGGGGGATGGGGAGGGGAGGGAAAGTAGAAGCAAATTGAGGGAAGGGGTAACAAGTTTGACAAGAAATGTACTCATTACCTTATTTATGTAACTGTAACCCCTCTGTACATCACCTTGAGAATAATAAAAATAAAATAACCCTTGAAATGTTAAAAAAAATGTCGGTAGCTTGACATTTATTCAGGAAAAGAATTGATAATGGCTTTTTAAACCAACAAAAGTATTTTTCAGTTTGTGTGTTTTAAAAAATAATTTTTGATGGCTCTCTATGGATTTTCTGTCCTGAAGTTAGATACAGAGGAAACCTGCCTACTTTTCTCAGGAAAGATATGCAGAAAAACAATTTCAGTTCAGAAACCTGTCAAGAGTTAAAATTTTAAAAATCCTGCACTTTATACCTTTAATTATCGTTTAGGTTCTTATCTCGAACAGTACACAATTTGTTTGGACTTTTTAATGGCTTTGGTAGATTTGCACTAATCTTACAAGTCACAAATGATTATCTGGGAACTAAAATTAAATTAAGATTGTCATTTGTAGTTACATGATTAAGGTAGGTAGGCATAGAACAATATTTAAAGAAGTAATGATTGAACAAATACCTATTTTAATGATCTTGAATTTCAGAATATAAAGTTTCTTTAGCCTTAAATGTCTTGAAAATCAAATATAAAACAGAATTTAGTTAATTCAAATAAAAACAATGAGGAGACCCTATCTTCAATCTTACCTTAGTATACTAAACATACAATGAGTATTTTAAGGTGTTGATGAGTGACTTTGTATGGATACAAGTATTTTTTTTTAAAGATTATCAAGTATATTTGTGATTGATGGCTTTCTATATTGCATGTTATGCTATAAACAAATGGAAGAAATTGCTATTAATGTGTAAAAAACTTTTTTTTCCTTTCAAGGAAATGATAATTGACAGAGTAAATGGACAGACTGTTCCTAGATATTTGATATATGACATAATTAAATTCAATGTAAGTACCTTTTTTAATTTATAAAGTGTATATTTTATAGAAGTTGTCATTGAAATAATAGTTTTTTTGTTTGTTTTTTTTGTTAAATGGTGCTGAGGGCTTTGTACAAGCCAAGCCAGCTTAGCTACACTATAGCAGAAAATATCAGGTGTTTTTGTTTTGTGTTTTTGCTGGTACTGGGGCCTCAAGCTTGTTTGGATTTTTCATTTGTGTAAACCACTCCTTTAGTTCTGGCTTTTTGCTGGTTATTTGGATTAAAGAGTTTCATGGACTTGCTGCCTGGGCTGGCTTTGAACTACAACCCTCAGTAGCTAGGATTACAGATATGAGGCAGTGATGCCTGGCAATATCAGATACCTAAAAAATATTTTTATTATTTTTGAGGAGTACACAAAGGAGTTGCCATTCAACAAAGCAGTTTATAAATACGGTATGTCTTCCAACATTCTCATCCACCCTCCCAACCCATTCTTTCCCTCACTTTTCTTAATTTTTAGACTTGGAAAATACTATATTAAGTGAAGTAAGTCAGACCCAGAGAAACACAGTGCCTGGTTTCCCTCATTTGTGGTGCTAGAATGTGCCTATAAAAGTATAAGTAAACACACTGAGTGATATGCAAGTAGTTACAAATGATTTAACTGAAATACAGTAGACTCTTAGGGAACTCAAATAATATAATTCTTTAGAATAAGTCAAAACCCAACAAAACAAGTACTAAGAAATGGGTACTTACAAGGATGTGGAATTGGGGCCAAGGGGAGAGGGGAGAGAAGAGAAGGGGGAAGGGGAAAATGCAGTCAATTCATTGTATGTAACACAAACAATTGAGAAAAATAAGGGAGGGGAGGAGGGTGCAAGGGGTGTAAAAATGTTGATAGGATGACAGATCAAGAGGTATTGTACAAATACCAACCATTGTTAGCAAATAAGTATTAGGAAGCCAAGTACAGTGATGCACACCTGTAATCCCAGCACTTGAGAGGCAGAGGCAGGAGTTTGAGACCAGCAGGAGCTACAAAAAACCAAGAAAAAAAAAAGGGGAAAAAGGTATTTGCCATACCTTGGGTATAGTGGGAAATAAAGATTGTGATTCAGAATGCTCACTGGGTATATTTTTGTTAATAATTTAATATTGCCCTTGTATCCTCTATTATATTGCGTATATCTAATTGAATGTGTAACTTAACTGGGTGAAGAAAAACAGTTTAACTTTGATGAAATATGAACATTTTATAAAGTGGAAATGTTTGGTTTTTAGTTGGACTGTACTTGATTAAAGAAAAAAAAAAGGCCACAAGTTTCTTCTGTCCCTGAAAAGAAAGATTAAATACAAAACAAAGGTCAAACTGTTTGTAGTGTTTTGTTTAGTTTGTTTTGATGGTACTAGAATTTGAACTCCAGAGCTCTGCATTCTTGCTAGGCAGGTTTTCTACCGCCTGAGCCACACCACAGCCTGATAATGAAGTATTGACTGGATAGCATGGAGACAGCCTCATGTTATATACATGCAACAAGAAACCTTAGTAAACTAAAATATCTGAAAACAAAATGTGAATGTGATAGAAAAAAATACACATTATGTTTTATACCCATTCTCCACAGTTTTACACTAGCCAAAAATCTGTTTTCTTGTTCATCTTTAATTACAATATGAATGTCTAAATTATATAAGAAACTCAGTAGTGCATATCTGTGCAAAGGTGTAACAGTTTCTTCTAAATGTATACTATTCAAATTACATAAATATTAAACCAGACTGGAAATGTTGAGAGATTTTGGAATTAAATGTTATTTAAGATTGATAAGAGTATTCTTATAAACTGGAACTTGTGATCTTTTTGCCTCATCCTCCCAAGATGTCTGGCCAATAACACCATTTTAAAAACTCTTTTAAAATGTATATTTAAAAATGATAAAATTCAAGATTAAATTTATCCCAGTTACATAAAAGTATTCTTTTAGGGCTTCTGCTTGTTAAGCAGGTGTTCTTCCTGCTGAGCCATGCCTTCAGCTAAAAGCAGTTTTTTCCTGTAAATCTTCAGTGTACGTATCTCATGGTTTTTGGTTGAACCTCTATATTTCAAGTACAATTTCAAATTTAAGAACCTAAAGGTTAAGAAACATCATTATTCTCTAGTTTCACTGTATTTTTCAAAACTAACCTTTTCAGAATTGGCTAATCTTTATCACAAGTTTTGGAATAGAGTTTGTTGACCTGTAACTAAGCGTCTGGTACAGTGGCTTTTGTGTCTTTGTTGAGTGTGGAAGTACTGTCCTTCTGGGACTCTTGAGGTTTACCTTTAAAATGTGTCCATTGTAAACTCTTCTTGACCTGAGAAGTATAATGTAGTAACAGTTTTCTAATATTTTTTTAAAAATGAGAAATTTCTGCATCCAGGAGTGCAGAGAATACTCACATAACGAATACCTAGATGTGTTGAAGCCTAATGCTTTAGCTGTGTTTTGTCTTGAACAAGCAATAAATTTAATTTCAAATCCAAGAGGTTTCTTGTACATGTTCTTTTCCTGTTTTCTGTTCTTATGCCCAGAAGACACTTCTGTCCTGAGGTAATAATTACTATGAATGTTTTAAACACTTTTACCAACTGTGTTTGTGTCTATAAGATATGTATGCTATTCTTTGGTTAAGTTTCTGGAGCTATTTCAATATCATGGTAGCCAACATTCATTTCACATTATCTTCTTGCTTTACTGGTTAATATGTACAGATTTAGTTATGAGTTTGCTTCATCCTAGTTTGTTTTATCCTAGTTAAATTTTTGCCAATTTACTCTGTGTAAAAATTGTTTCACTTATTTCAGTTGGGTTTTTCCACGATTACTAGTTCGATTGGATGTAGTTCCTATGTATATTTACTTGTTTGTTTTTGTGATTTTTTTTTTTCTTCGGTCCGGTCGTGGGGCCTGAACTCAGCCTGGGCACTGTCCCTCAGCTCTTCAGCTCAAGGCTAGTGCTGTACCACTTGAGCCACAGCGCCACTTCTGGCTTTTTTCTTTTTTGCTTATGTGGTGCTGAGGAATCGAACCCAGGGCCTCAGGCATGCAAGGCAAGCGCTCTACCACTGAGCCACCTTCCCAGCCCCTTGTTTTTGTGATTTTATGGGAAACTTGTACAATCTAACATTTTTTTTTGGTCTGGTCGTGGGGCCTGGACTCTGAGCCTGGGCACTGTCCCTCAGCTCTTCAGCTCAAGGCTAGCGCTCTACCACTTGAGCCACAGTGCCACTTCTGGCTTTTTTCTTTTCTTGCTTATGTGGTGCTGAGGAATCGAACCCAGGGCTTCATGCATGCAAGGCAAGCGCTCTACCACTGAGCCACCTTCCCAGCCCCATAATCTTAACTTTTGTATTTGGTAGTCTTTTATTTCACCCTAATTTTATTTGTTTATATTTTTATTTTGTGATTTAATTGCAATCTCTGAATTTCTTACTATATTTTTTTTTACTATATTGCCATCAATTTTTCTTTTGGTTAGAGTAGGTATTAGTTCCTGTTTTGAGTTTAAATCCTTTTTAGTACTTTTTTTTTGGTGCCAGTGCTGGGGCTTGAATTCAGGGCCTACGCACTGTCCCTGAGACATTTTTGTTCAAGGCTAGTGCTCTACCATTTGAGCCACAACTCTACTTCTGGCTTTTTGGTAGTTAATTGGAGAGAGTATGTCATGGACTTTCCTGCCCCTTCTGGCTTCGAATCACTATTGTCAGATCTCGGCTTCCTGAATAGCTAGGATTACAGATGTGAACCACTGGTCCTTTTCAGCTCTTCAGCTCAAGGTTAGCTCTCTACCACTTGAGCCACAGCGCTTATGTGATGCTGAGCAATCGAACCCAAGGCCTCATGAGGCATGCAAGGCAAGCACTCTACCACTGAGCCACCTTCCCAGCCCCCTTTTTAGTTTTATATGTGGTCCAAATCAGTGTTTATTATAATATAGTCATTATTGATATATAGAAGTATTTACTGTTAATCAAGTCAGACTTACCTGACTTCATTAAAAATTGTATTTTTGTGTCTTATTTAAGAAATTCAACCATAATTTGTTTAAAAAATTAGGTATATATTTCCCTTCCTAGGTTTGTAAGTACTCATTCAATGAGTATTTTTTGTGTGCATATTAACATATTTCATAATTTAAAGTCTAATATTAGGATGCATTTATAATTAAAAGCATTATATATCTAAAACGACTTAACTGTTATGAAGCCTTAATTGGTTTATTAGTTTAATTTATGTTGTCCTAACAAAATACCTGAGGCCAGGTAATTTATAAAGTAAGAAGCTTTGTTTGAATCAAAATTGTAGTTAGAGGACTGAAATAATAGTTAATATCATTTATATATGTCAAATTTTATTGTTTAAATGAATAAGATTAGTTTATTGCTTTTGGAGAATTCATATCAGTGCACTAGCCTCCAAACAAAGCCATCTTCACAATGGTACTTTGGGATTTGGAAAGAACATAAAAGATATGTTTATTTTATTTTTTATTATTTTATTTATTTTGTCTATTTTATAATATATGTATACATATTGTTTAATAGGCATATATTGTATGTATTTGTTAAGTTATACATTTAGGTTGGTTAAATATCAAAACATTTGCTCATGGATAAGAATGCAAATATTAAAAAGTAATTGTTACAGGATTGTAAGCATAATAATAAAAGTATATAAGATGAAGTATTCTTCCCTACCCTGGGTGTAGTTGAGTTATTGAAGTATGGAATTGCATCAGAGAAAGTAACACAAACTATTGAAAATACTTCAGTAGTCTTGGAAGTCAGACCATTAGATTTAAAAAAAAATTTCTTGGGCCAGGTGCTGGTAGTTCACACCTGTAATCCTAGGTACTCAGGAGGCTGAGATCTGAGGAACACAGTTTAGAGCCATCCGGGACAGGAAAGTCTGTAAGATTCTTACCTCCAATAAACCACCAGAAAACCGGAAGTGGCACTGTGGCTCAAGTGGTAGAGCACAAGCCTTGAGCTGAAGAGCTGAGGGACAGCACCTAGACCCAGAGTTCAAGCCTCATGACTGGAAAAAAAAATTCTTTAAAAAATACTATTATAAAGGTGATGTACAGAGGGGTTACAGTTAGGGGTTACATGTTAGGTAAATAGTACAATTCTTAGGGGCTGGGAATGTGGCTTAGTAGTTAGAGTGCTTGCCTAGCATACATGAAGCTCTGGGTTTGATTTCTCAGTACCACATACGCAGAAAAAGCTGTAAATGATGCTGTGGCTCAAGTGCTAGAGTGCTAGCCTTGAGCAAAAGAAGTTCAGGGACAGCACCTAAGCCTGAGTTCAAGCCCCAGGACTGGCAAAAAAGAAAAAAAAGAAAAAAAAAATCTATACAACTGGGGTGAGGGAGGAAGTGGGAGAAAAATGAGGGGGGGGTAACAAGTTTGACAAGAAATGTACTCACTACCTTATGTAACTGTAACCCCTCTGTACATCACCTTGACAATAAAATTAAAAAATAAAATACATTTCTTTTTGGACAGTGTTACCTCTTCCCTCACTCTCTCCTAGTTTTTCCTTCCCATCCCCACCCACAAGTTGTATATAGTTCATTTTCAACATAGTGTCTAGTAAGCCATATTTATTCACCCTTTGTCTCTCCCTTTCTGTGCCCCCTTTAAAATTAGATAGCTTTGTTTGCATATTTGGTATATAGTGAGGTGTAGTGCAGAGGAGGAAATGAAAATAGATTGATGAATAGGGGACCAGGTTAATTGAATAAGACATTTTAAGTTGACTGTTTTCTTGTGCTGGGTGTCAGGAGTCTTGCATAAGCTATGTAAGCACTCTACCACTGAGTTCCATTTCCAGCCCTTTTACTTTGTTTTTAGTAGGTTGCTATTTAACGGTTTTGTGTGGAGAATTCCAGTGACATTTTTTTCCTCTGTGTTTTTGAACTTTCTCTACTGGGGCTTGAACACCATAGGGGCTTGAGCACTTCACTAGTGCTCTTGCTTGGTTCTTTAACTCATAATTGGCATGTAGAATGCCCTTGAGCTATGCCTCCAGTTTGACATTTTGCTGGTTAATTGAAGTTGGAGTTTTGCAGACTTCTGCTTTGAATCTCAGTCCTTCAGGTCTCAGCCTCTTATGCAGCTAGGATTACAGGCATTAGCTAGAATGCTTGACATTATTATTATTATTATTAGTTTTGGTCTGGTCGTGGGGCCTGAACTCTGGGCCTGGGCGCTGTCCCTCAGCTCTTCAGCTCAAGGCTAGCACTCTACCACTTGAGCCACAGCGCCACTTCTGGCTTTTTTCTTTTTGCTGAGGAATCGAATCTAGGGTCTCAGGCATGTAAGGCAAGTGCTTTACCACTGAGCCACCTTCCCAGCCCCCCCCCCCCCCCTTTTTTTTTAGACAGGTTCTTACTATATATCCCAGGCTGGCCTCAAACTCCTGCCTAATTCTTTTTTTTTCATATGTAATTATGTTATAGCAAGTAAATGTTACTTCACAGATCCTTTAACAAGCAGTATTTCATTCTTGAGAAAACAGTTTTTTTAACCATTAACAAACATAATGCATTCAGAATACTTCAAGACACTGAAATAAATGCATACATACCTTATTACCAATAGATTGAAATATCATGGAAAGCATACTGGAATATATAAGATTTTAAACTTCAGCAATGCATAGTAATTTAACCAGTACATCCACATTTGTAAAATGAGGAGTGTATTTCTAATAGGTCCAACTTAGTGCCTAAGCCTTCTAAATGTGGGGTTACATATGTATGTGTGAAATGGTCCCCAGATTTAAGTGTTTTGTGTATGTATCAGGCCTTGAACTCTGAGCCTCTCACTCTCACTTGAGCTAGGCTTCCAGTCTGACACTTGTTAGTTAATTGGAAATGGGGACTCATGGACTTCACTGCCTGGGTTAGCTTTCAGCCTCAGTCCTCCAGATCTCAGCCTTCTGAGTAGTTAGAATTACACGTGTGAGCTACCACTGCCTGGCTGCTGATAGTATTTTGAAGTGAAGGAAAACTGAAAACAAGTAGTCTAATTAAGCAGTGATTGTTTCCTGTAGTATGTTCTCAGTGATTCATCACCTATCTATCCATGCTTCCTTTATTTATAGGCATTCTGGATGTGAATGTGAACTTGCTTTTAATTTGTTCTTGTTTTGTGAATTGATATATTTAAACTGGAAAGTATGTAGGAGAGAATTTAGGCTACTTACTTACAAATCTTTTTAGCAGCTTTTAAAAAAATATTGTTATAAGCATATTTGTTGTTTGAACTATAATATGATGTGAAGAGGTTCTGTTCTCATCTGTTTAGAGCCCAATGCCTCCTGTACTTTAATGAGCATCTCTTTCTCCAAGACTTAGGAAGTTTTCTGCTATTAATTTTTGTAAAGTTACTGCTTTATATGTCATAAAACTACCATTATATATACCTATATAAACACACATGGTAGATATATACATACATATATATATGTAATGCTTTAACTCAGTTGTGTCTTTTCATCAACTTAGAGTAGATTCATACTGGTGTCTCATACTATTATAAGCACTTGTAATTTTAAAATAGCTCCATCAGTCTAGTTATTAGTGGTGACACTTGACAATTCCAGGGATTCTGTTTATTTAAACTACTATATTTAGTATGGCAGGCTTTATACTTTGTGCTGACAAAATAGTTGTTAATGTTGAAATCTTAAAAGTTGTCTTTTTAATTTAGGCCCAGCCAGTTGGAGATTGTGATTTTAATGTTCGCCTACAGTGTATAGAACGGGAAATTATAAATCCTCGACATGAAAAAATGAAGACTGGGCTCATCGATAAAACACAGGAACCATTTAGTGTGAGAAATAAGCCATTTTTTGACATCTGTATTTCAAGAAAGGTAACATTTATTTTTTGTTCTCTATTTCATATAACTCAGTTTAGAAGAGTACTAATGGCCTTTGGCTCCTCACTGATCTTACTTACTGGAAATGACTGGAATTGGATGTAGCACTATTTTTTACCAAACATGTATGATTCTGAGTATTATCTTCTTCAGTAACATTTTTAGTGTGGACATGTAAAATAGATTGCTTCTTTTTTTCTTACTGGTTTGTTTCATAGCCATTTGTTTGTATTCTATTTTTAAGAAGACTGTAGGCAGTATAAGTAAATTCACAGTGAAATAGGTTTTTAGACTTGTTCCTGCTTTTTCCTGAAAACAGTGTTTGTTTTATATTTTTATGAAAAATATTTCTGATACATATCAGTGTGTGCACACAGGACTTTCTTTTTTCTTTTTCTTTTTTCTTCTTACTGGTTCTGGACTTGAACTCTGGGTCTAGGCACTATCGCTGAGTTTCTTTTTCTCAAGGTGTGTGCTGTAGTGCTTTGAGCCACAGCACTACTTTCGGCTTTTTCTGAGTAGTAGTTAATTGGGGATAAGAGTCTCATAAAGACTTTCCTGCCTGTGCTAGCTCCTAACAGCAATCCTCAGATCTTAGCTTCCTATATAGCTAGGATTATAGGCGTGAACATCCGGCACCCAAAAAGGTTTTCTTATTTTTGCTATTTTAGCACTCTTAAATGAATCATACCAAATATTCTAGGATTGACTTTTTTTCACATAAAAATAAAACTTGAAGATATTTCCATGTGCAGTTAGAGATTGCCACATTATTTTTTAATTGTTGAATGATGTTGATGGTGAAGATGTACCATATGTTATCACTGCTGGGATTTTTGGATTGCTTCTAGCATTAGTTATTACTAATTCTCTTCCAGGGAACATCTTTGCTTATATGTTGGGTATTTCTTCCTGGTAAGTTAGGAGTTTTGGTGTAAGGACTTTTGGATAGTTTTAGTAACAACTGCCAAGTTCCCTTCCACATTAAGCCCTTCCATCTCCAGTGGACAAGAGAATTTCGTTCCTCAGACTATACTCTGTTTTCTTTTCCCTCCTGGCCTGTGCAGACAAAGTAAGGTGCCCTGTTGTGGAGATGAGTAAGCTTCTAAAACAGTGACTGTGCTGTTTTTATTTTTGTTTTTGTTTTTTTCTGCTTCTTACTGGCTTTGAGATCTTTTCAAAGGTACTTGAAACTTTGCTTAACAAAGTTTATTCACGTATAATTCGGAGTTACAAATCTAGGCTTACTCTGTTAACTTAGTGTAACATTGCATCAAACCAAGAGGCTGAGATTTTGAGGATAGTGGTTTGAAGCCAGCCTAGGCAGAGAAGTCTGAGACTCCAAAAAGCCAGAATGGAAGTAAGTGGTAGAGCACTGCCTGAGAAAACTAGCCAAGTAAATTTGAAGCCCTGAGAACAAATCCTAGTACCACCTATGAAAAAAAGAAGCATCTAAAGCCACCTAAATGCACAAAAATAGAGCATCAAACAAACAAGATAATATTAAGAAATAATATAAACAAGCATTTCGGAGATGAAGGGCTTTCTAAGCAAGACAGAAAAACTCAGAACATAGGGAAAATATATTTCCAAATTTAACAGTATAAAAATGGAACTTTTTATGGAAAACACTACATAGAAAAGTAATTGTGGGGGGCTGGAAAGGTGGCTCAGTAGTAGAGCGCTTGCCTTGTATGCATGAAGCCCTGGGTTCGATTCTTCAGCACTCCATAAGCAAAAAAGAAAAAAGCCGGAAGTGGCGCTGTGGCTCAAGTGGTAGAGCGCTAGCCTTGAGCTGAAGAGCCCAGGCACAGAGTTCAGGCCCCACGACTGCCCCCCCCCCCCCCAAAAAAAAGTAATTGTATAACAATCAATAACAATAATTACAAATCCATAAGAAACAATAATTAGCACTTAGTGGAAGCAGACCAAGGTAACTACTTTGTGACTTTATCAGCTGTTGTATTCTGGACATTTTATAGAAGTGACTACCTTTTTTCATGAAACCAGCTTTGTACTTTCAAGCACAAACTATAACATGCTATTGATGTCATGGCATGTATCAATACTTCCTTAAATATTTCATCATATGGTTCTACAATACTTTGTTTTTCCATTTGCTTGATGGAAGTTTGGGTTGTTTCCATTCTCCAGTGATTATGGATAATGCTTTTATAAACATTTGTGTGCAAATTGCTGTGTGAACATCTGTGTAACTTTTCTTTTTTTAAATGATGATTTAATTATATTTATATTCACAGAATGGATATGTTGACAGTCAGTGCTGTTATTATCTTACAGTTTTTGGTAAAAGTGTGTTGGTATACTATGTTTATAATATTTTTTTCAAAAGTGTTTGTAATCACTTATATTTTTGTTCTCATGGCTCATTTTCTACCTATATCTTCATATATCTTTAGATTTGTATTTCTTTAGATATTACCTAACTAAAAATATAGGTAGTGTATTTCTTTGTGTTATCTGTTTCATTTGCACTTTGTGGCTGCAAGTTTTTAATGAATAATACCTCATTGTTAGTATTACAAACTTGGAATCCTAGATGTCTTCTTTCAATTTTTATTTATGCTATTTTCTTATCCTTAGGTTAGATATTTATCTTGTTTTTTTTTTCATTCTAAGCTTCATATTAATTCTAGTTTATATATAATTACCTTTTAATGTTTTTGTAAGGGGTAGGTTTTCTTTTCTCATAATTTCCTCAGTCATTTCATTTGAGGCTAATGTTTTTATAATTTTCTTAAGAGCACTTCCTGGTAGCAGTGGTTTCTAATGTCTTGAATATTTGAAAATGTTGTTAGCTGTATTTTTGAAAGATCATTTGGATGGGTTTTAAATGACTTTCACACTTAACCTGTCTTAGTAAACTCTTTTAGTATTTAATGATGTGAAACAGTAAAATTCCATCAGACTTTGTTTTTTCTCCCATTTTAGTTAAAAACTCCCCTTTTGCCTCTTTGCTTGGAAGTTTATTTCTTCATCTTTAGAGTTCAGCAAAGTATCACTGTCTTGGAATTGACTGTCTCTGATCAGTTTTTTCTATCACTTTCATTTCTTGAGTATTTTCTTCTTAGTACTGAGGTTTGAACTCAGAGTTTTACAGAAAGTTTGCTAGTAAGACCATCTGTTGCTTTAGCAACACACTCAGCCTTAGAGTTTGCTTTTAAAATAACTGTGATGTTATGTTGCTTGGTTATCCTCTTTAGGCATTCTCACTATATGTTGTCTTCCATCTTAGAGCACTTGAGATTTTCTGACTTCTGTAGGTTTTGGTGGATCTGGTGCTAGTGTATGGGCCCTATTTTATGAAGCAGTGCTCTAAATTTAATATTGTAAAACTTTCATAGTTACATTTCATTTTATGAGTCTTTTTTATTGTTTAAAATGCATTTCTTGCTTATGAAGCTTAGCTTACACTCTAGGGGTCATTGGGTTTGTTGACTCAATTTAATGAAGAATTGAATGAAAGGACACAAGAAGATATGTTAAGAAGTTGAATGCTTTATTACAGGAGCAAAACTAGCAGAAAGCGAAAGTAACAGGCTCCTCTGAAGAGTTTTACCAGATAGATCATGAGGCAGGAAGAGTGGAAGTAGAGGCCAAGTTTATTTCAAAGTAAGAGTAAGATGCCAGGGGAAACTGAGGGAAAACTTACTATCTATTGGTACTTTGGCCTAAATCTTCATCCTGGACTCCCAACTGAGAGGGCCACCTTATGCCATTTGAGGTCCCATCCACCTGTTTCACAGGCAAGCAGGAAAAGGTAGAGGAGGCTGCAGATTTCTTGAAGTAAGAGAGTGGGAAGCAGAGCCCAGAAATTGGTATGTAGGCTCCAGAAGTCCCTTTCTTATAGTCCTTTTGGCAAGTCTCTTCTGCTCTGGCATCTGGTTGAGTCATGTGTCCTTCACCCCAAAGAAGGGGGATGGGTGCCTGTTCTCTGCACGGGTCTGCTCCAGAGTTGTCAAGGTCTTTGGTTGCTTGCTTGCTTTTTTTTTTTTTTTTTTTTTTTGTTGTTGTTGGTTGTGGGACCTGAATTCTGGAACCTGGGCACTGTCCCTCAGCTCTGCAGTTCAAGGCAGGCGCTCTATCACTTGAGCCACAGCACCAGTTCCAGTTTTCTGGTGGTTTATTGGAGATAATCTCACGGCCTTCCTGCCTAGGGTTGGCTTTGAGCCACGATCCTCAGATCTCAGCCTCCTGAGTAGCTAGGATTACAGCTACTAGCACCCAGCTAAGATCTTTGCTTTCTTGGAGCCATTAACTTGATTTTTTTCCAGGGTGGGTTATCTGGTGTAATAGGCTCCACCAGTAATCTCTGCTTTTCCAAGATCTTTTGGAAGAGTAGATGCAGGTTCTACTTTCTCCAGGTTTTCTAGAATCCTTGAGGAGGAAGATTGTTGGTTCCACTGGGTTGCTGACTTGCCTTAACCTACACATTACTTCTAAATCTCTCTCACCTATGCCTTTATTTCTGTGACTTTTTTCTCTTGGACTTTCCTCAATATTTTGTTTCCCTACTTTTTATCTTTTTTTTTTTTTTTTTTTGGTCCGGTCATGGGGCCTGAACTCTGGGCCTGGGCGCTGTCCCTCAGCTCTTCAGCTCAAGGCTAGCGCTCTACCACTTGAGCCACAGTGCCACTTCTGGCTTTTTTCTTTTTTGCTTATGTGGTGCTGAGGAATCGAACCCAGGGCTTCATGCATGCAAGGCAAGTGCTCTACCACTGAGCCAGCCCTACTTTTTATCTTTTTAAGCTGTATTTCTTCTTGAACCTTTTCGTTTCTGCTTTGTTGTTCTTTAAAGTAGTTTTATTATTTTTTTTAAAAAAGGTCATGATAAGATATTTGATGATTTTCATCCTTTCTATGGCAATATTTTTCTGTATTGTCTGTTAGTATTGTACTTTCTACCTCTTTCATTTGATAGATGAAGTGTAATATTTTTGTACTGTCAGTTCCCTTAATGATGCTCATCTTAA